TCAGACTAAGAGTGTACCTAGGAAAAGGAAAACCCTGATCCCAAACCCGAACAGGACGGGCTCGTTACCATTGGTCGGGAACCGTCCTAGGTCAGGTTCAAGACCGATATAAAACCGCTACTTTTCTATTATGGATATGAGCAAAAAGAAAGCAGAGATCTTATCAGACCAGGTCGACCNGACGACCAGGTCCCGGCGCGGAAAGGCTGGTGTCCCGGGTGCCNCCGTGTCGTCATCCAACGACGGGCGGGTGGAAGAGTGCCCCGCAGGCTCTTCCACCTATTTAGCGTCTGCGAAGACGGATGGCGGAGATCGTCCGTGCCGTCCAAGGGGGCGTGCCGCCCCGTTGACGGCGAGAAGGAGGGAGGAGTCGATGGAGTCGACCCTCTCCCTGGACTCCGCGTTCTCCGTGGAAGCGCTGGAGTCACACTTGCCGGAAGCGTCAACATTGGACGCGGACATGGGCTCGTCCGGTGAGGAGTCCATGCCCCGCCCCTTGACCACCGACGCGGCAATCGCGGCGTACGCCGCAGGGAGGGCAGCCCAGCCCGAACGCCGTGGGAGACCACCTACCCATGGCATGTTTATCGGCCTGGGCAAAGCAAGGGACCAGCTTCGGAAGGAGAAGCTGGCCGAAAAGGAGCGCGCCGCTGATGAAGAGCGGCAAAGGGCGTACGCGGCGGCGACCAAACGCCGCTCCGACTCTGATGTCTTGGGGCGAACCTCAGACACCGAGTCGGTGAAGCGNCTTCGGCGTACCGTCCAACGGTTCGGGGGGACGGACGTGGAGCGAGAATGCGAGACCCGCGCCACGTTGTACCTTGTAGATCTGATCTACAAGGCCGTCGGCGTGTGCGACGAGGTGGCGGGTCGCGCAAAACGTTTGAAGGGCACAGACGTCAAGGCCCTAAGAGATGCGGGGCGAGACGGCCGTTTAGTGGCGGACGCCTTATACTGCCGCCTGCGCGATGAACCTGGGGCACGGACGGCTCGTGTCCTGCCCCAGGTTTACAAACAGANCCGCGGAAGAGGCAGGTGGCCCCCCGAAGAAAAACCTGGCCTCCGGGTCAGAGTCGGGGCGCACGTCGGACGCCGAGTCAGTTAGGCGTCTAAGGAGGTCGTGCCTCACGGTCGGCGGGTCCGACGTCGACCGTGAGTGCGAAACAAGAGCGTCGGTGGACCTCATCGACCTCTTGTACAAGGCCGTCGGTGTGTGCGACGAAGTGGCGACCCGTGCAAAGCGGCTAAAGGGCACAGACGTTAAGGCCCTTCGAATGGCGGGGCGGGACGGGCGCAGGGTCTTGGACACGCTCTACACCCGCCTCCGCGATAACCACGCGGCGAGAACGGCACCGGTTCTCCCGCAAATATATCGGGAGAACGAGGATCTCCGACTCGAAGTCAAACTCCTCAGGGAGGAGGTGGCGGCCTTAAAGGCGAAGGCCCAATTGCCGCCTCCTCCCTCCCCTGCGGCGGCGCCGATGGGGGCATCCGAAGATCTTCTGAGGAAGATGGGTGCCCTCATCGACGCAAAACTAGAAGCGGTCATGCCCCCCCCTGCTCTGCCAGTGGGGTGGACAAACAGGAGCGCATCACGTTTCCCCAAGAAGGGGGACATTCGCGTGCGCTCGGAATCCGGGCAGCGAGGTAAGGGAAAGGCGGGTAAGCCCGCGGCTCCCCCCTCGACCGCTCCGGCCCCCCAGGCGCAGCAGGAGGCCTTGGATCCGGGTCCGTCCACCTCCAAGGCGGCGGACACGTGGTCCAAGGTTGTTGGCCGAAAGACCAAGAGGGCGACCAAAGGACCGTCCGGGGCTCCGTCCCCGGCGGCCCGGTCTGGCTCCGGGGCTCCTCCGTCAAAGGGGCAGCCCCGGAATAAGAAGAAGAGGCGGCGGGTGCGACTGCGGGCCCCCAGGACGGCCGCGGTCGTGGTGGCTCGGGACCCGTCCGCCAAAATAGAGTTAGGCGAGGCCCTTAAAAGGTGCCGCCTAGCCATTCCCCTCGAATCCCTCGGGATAGAGGGGATGGGCTTCCGGCGGACAATGACCGGGGACATGATGATTCAAGTCCCCGGTCCAGATATGGCCGCTAAGGCTGATGCCTTAGCGGCCAAAATGGAAGGTGTCCTCGCGGGGACCGGCGTTAAGATCCGCCGCCCCTCGCGTCCCGGAAGTGTCCGGGTGCGAGGGATCGACNGGACGGTCTCCCGCGAGGAAGTACTGGCGGCGCTCGCCCGTGAGGGCGGCTGTCCGGAGGGGGAGATCCGGTTGGGCGAACTCCGGGCTCTCCCCTCCGGACTGCAGACAGTTTGGGCACAATGCCCTATGTCTGCGGCCAAGAAACTGGCCGCAGCAGGCCGGGTAGCGGTTGG